ATATGCTTTTTTATTGGTTGATGTCTATTCTAGATTTACCTGGGTTCTATTTTTAAGTACTAAAGATGAAGCATTAGAAAATTTTATCACTTTTTCAAAATTAATCCAAAATGAAAAAGGTTACACCATTTCAAGTGTTACGAGTGATCATGGTACTGAATTTGAAAATCTTGGATTTACTAAGTTTTGTAATTCAAATGGGATTAGCAATAATTTTTCAGCACCTAGAACCCCTCAACAAAATGGAGTTGTTGAAAAAAAATTGAACTTTAGAAGAAATGGCTATAACCAGGCTTTGTGAAAACAATTTGCCAAAATATTTTTGGACGGAAGCCACAAATATCGCTTGTTATGTTATTAACCGAGTAATGATTAGGCCTATTCTAAAGAAAACTCCATGTGAAATTTTCAAAAATAAAAAGCCTAACATTAGGTATTTTCATCCTTTTGGATGTTAATGTTTTGTTTTAAACAACAGTAAAGACAATCTTGGAAAATTCGATGCTAAAAGTGATTAAGGAATTTTTCTAGGTTATTCATTAAATTCTAAAGCTTATCGTGTATTTAATAAAAGAAATTTAGTGGTAGAAGAGTCTATTCATGTTGTTTTCGATGATAATCCCTTTCCGATGAAGGATTCTTGTGTTGATGATACTGTAGGTATAATATATGCAAATGATGTAATACCCCAAAAATTTAGATAATGACCAAAATGAAAATTTTGAAAGTTTGATGGTCAAAGTATAAAACTTGGGAAACGTTTGAGGAATGAAGTGATAAATATCCTAAAAAGAATTTTATTCCATAAATAGATGGTTTACTCTTGAGAGTGGAGTTTTATGGAAATCATATTTTTGGAATTTGAATTTTAGTAAAGAAAAACTAGAAAGGGTTAAAGTCTGATAAGGAATCGGTAATTTCGATCGAATTGGAATGTTACAAAAATTTGAAGGATGTTATAAAATGGTTGGAAATATTATTTTAATATTATGGATCAGAGAAATTTGGTTTGGAATTGTGCAAATTTTCAGATTTAACCGAAATAGTGGAATTTAGTGACTAAAACGCAAGATTTGAAAATTCAAGGTGAATTTCGGAAATGAAAGTCAAAATAATTCATGTTTGACTTTGTAATATGATAATGATCAGATGGCTTGGTTTTATGGTGAATTTGGAGATTCATTAAGGGCAAAAATGGAATTTCCTATGGTGTTGAAAAAAAAAATTCCATTATGATATTATATTAAGCATGTGCTAGATATAATTAACATTAAAATATCAAATATGATGAAGCATATTCAGCTTCTTCTTCATCCAAGACCGACACCCCGAAGTTTGCAAGGTAGGTATTCTTGTTTTGAATTTTGAAGCAATCTTGTTGAGAATTAGACTTGGGTGTGATTAGGAAAAATGTTCTACGTTCAATTCTCTACATTTTGACATGAATATTACTAGGGTTTCATGTTCAAGTTCATCTTGAGTTGATGAGGGGATTTTGATTCTTGTGTTTTATGGGTTTTGAAGAGTTAAGTGATTTTAAAGAATTGATTGTAAGAATTGATGAAGAACCTAAGAATGAAGTTAAAGAAAACAGTTTGGATTTTGAATTTAGCAGTAGGTTCGAAAATTCACCAGAAACTATATAAAAATAATTTGGAGGTTATTTTTATATATTGTGTTCATATATAGATTTAGTTTTTTTAAAAACAAACGGGGATCAATTTCAAGGTGTGTACAGAAAGATATGAGTTTTTAACCAAGGAAAGGTCAGAAAAATCGGACAGCAGATTCTACAAAACAAATTCTGTTGATCAACTTTGAAAATTCACCATAAATTGTACAGAATGAATTAGAATGATTTCTTTATATGGATAGATTTGTATTCGAGTTTAGTTTTCAACGAAAGAAATGGAATTAAATTACAGTTTGTATATCAGTAAAGAATATTGATTCTTTAAATGTATTACAAGTTGTCAGAATATGGAAATTTTAGAAAGTTTTGTGATTGTAATACAAATTTTTGAATTATTGGGAGTGTTATTGTAATTATTCCTTTGTGTACTTGGTTGTTAATAATTTCAATACTGGAATTTTTGTATTGAAATTCTAAGTGATAAAATGGTGAAGGATCATTTTGTGTAAATTAGAAAAGTTGATCCCAATGTTAAAGGAATTATTAAGAGATAAGTATTTTGATAGATAATGAGTATCAAATATATATTATGGAGTTATTTTGGGATATGTTTATGTTAGTAAAATACTAACATATGTATCGTTATGAAATTATGAATTATATAGATTATGATAGATTTGCGATTGAAGCAAGTCAAGTGGGTTTATTGTGGACAATAGTGAGGCACAAATTTGGAAAATTATAAAGTGTCAAGGTGAGTGCAATACATGCATGAAATTATACATGGATGTTTTATACATCATCAGGAAGACTTGCGATAAGTCGACCTTGTTTATATCGGCATGATTTTATATCATTTTTATAAATTGACATTGATATGTCAGAGTATGAAATTAAAATGCATTGATCACTGATTTTTGCATATGATGTTATGAGGAATATATATGATTTTTACCATGAATGTTATTTCGGGTATGAACTGCCCCATTGTTAAATATTGATAATATACTTTGCCATGGATGGATCGAATAAAATAGACTGTATGCCCAAGTAAGTCATTGAGGGACAGGGTATTGTTGGCATGCCATAGAGTCCAGCAGGCTGTATACGGGATACACTAAAGGATATCTAGTGTATATGGTGGTACGACCTTATGTGCCATACGGGACTGACTTAAGGATACCTAGTACATATGGTGGACGACTTTATGTGTCATACGGATTAGCACTACGGTGCTTATATTTGACTCGTGTACCCAGGGTCCTCAGGGATGTATATTGGGCTATTGTCTATGGTATATGGTTATGGAATAATGACAAGTGTATTGGTAAAATAAGCTTATGAGCTTATGGGATAAATGGAAAGAAATTTTATATTATTTTGATCATGGTAAAATATTGAATATGCTATTAGCATGGTTTTATGGCATTGGATTTGAAATTTAAATTCATGCATGAATTGTATTGCACTTTTATTGTTTTAATTGCCTCACTAAGTTTATACTTAGCGTGTGATGATTTTCACGCGTAGGTAAAAAGCCAGTAATGGAATAAAGAGTTTAAAGCGTCATCAAAGATCGAGAAGTATATTTCAATAAAGACATCCAAAGTTGTAATGTTGATTTTATTAGTGGCATGTAATTATAAATGTTTTATTTGTTCTGTTAAACAAATTTGGAAACAAAATGGAATTTTAATGAACTTATATGTATTTTCGAAAGTTACTGTAGCATGAACAATAACCACGATTTTATGCAAAATTTTCCAGAACGATTTTGGGTACCGATTCTCCCAACAGGGAATCGTTTCCCCTACTGTGCATGGGTACTGTTCACTGTTCACCGGTACTGTTCACTATTCATAAAAAAATTCTTTTGAATTAAATTTGTTTATAACATAATATAAATTATATGATATGATACTTTTATAATATCATTTACCATTTTAAGAAGATAAATTTTAAATCACATTTGAATTGGAAAATGGTTTTAGAAATCCGGGTGACATCCTATTTTTGATTACTGTAATACTAAAAAAAACTATAGTTTCTTTCAAACGAATGAGAATACTCTCTACTACAAGTATCAATATATTTATACAACCTACAATATCATTTTCTAACTATAATATTTTATAAAAGTATCGATATTTATTTTCTACCTAGAATATCACTTTCTTCCTGTAATAGGTTCCAAATGCTTCTGTACTTCGAAAACCCCAAACCCATAAAACCCTATTTTTGATTACTGTAATAATAAAAAACTAGGTTTTCGACCGATTCGACTGCAACAACAAACAAACAACTTCGCTTTTAAAAACACATTCCTTCTATTTCGCAGCAACTAATACGCTTCGATTTTGAAAACTACGATCGCGTTCATTCTATTTTTAGAGGAAATGTAGCTATGCCTATGATATTTTAATCGGATATGTTATTTATATTTAATCGATACAATTACACAAGTCTCAATACTTTTGTGTCAGGTGTCGATACTTTCGATACATTTTCATTTTTTTTGTTTTAAAAGTATTGATAATATGATACATATACTTATTAAAGTATCGATACCTTCAACATATCCGATAGCGCTTTACCGATTTTACAATATTAAAATCGGTTTTGTCATATTTTAACTTGTTATATTGTCATGTATCGATACATGTCTCTAAAGTATCGATACTTTATAGGCGCTACTATTGCAATTCTTTTAAATTCCTAAAGTATCGATACTATGATACATATACTTATAAAAGTATCGATACCTTCAATATATTTGGTAGTTCTTTATCGGTTTTGTCATATTGAAATCAATTTTTGTCATATTTTTACATGTTATATTGTCATATATCGATACATGTTTATAAAGTATCGATATTTTATAGGCACTATTATTGAATTTTTTTAAAATTCCTAAAGTATCGATAATTTGGTGCATATACTTAGAAAAGTATCGATACAAATTTTAATAATTCAGGTATTTCTACTGGTTTTATCAAATTAAAACCGATTTTGTCAAACTTCAACATTTTATATTGTTACGTATCGATACTGCTTTGCAAGGTATCAATACCAACCAACAAACTAAATTTACCAATTGTCAAATTTTTAAATATTTCTTCATGATTTCCGCTTATAATATTATTATTACTCAACACTACACCAACTTTGTCAAATAATTTATTATGTTTTCGGTAATATCATATCTTATTTGCGAAGACAACTCCGTAACGTTTGGCATTAAATGCACTTCCGTGGGGATATTCTTTCTCTCATTTTGAAACACGTAAGAAAGGGAGGGAGAAGGAAAGGGAGGGAGAAGGAAAGGGAAGGGGGCAAGGAAGGAAGGGAAAGAAGTGTCCTAAAAGCTTTTATTTCTCTCCCTGTTTAGATTTTTTTGCTGTTTTCTTGTGTTTTCTCTCTATTTCTTTTAGCGCGAGGAAATAGAGTAGGGAGAAAAGAGGGAGAAAGGGATTTGAATCCAAGAAGGGAGGAATTGAAGGGAGAGAATAGATTAACGGATCCAAACCCAATTTTTCTTTGACCTTTTGGGAGGTCGCAGTGGCTTCAACGGTGGTGGTGACGTTTGTTTTGGGCTTTACGGGCGTTTATTTAACAATGCCCGCCTCTGATTACAGCTTCCTCAAATTACCCAGGAACCTTGAAGATCTTCAAATCCTCAGGTTCGTCATCCTTTTCCCGTTTATTTGAAAAAAAGTACAATTTATTTTCTTTTATTCTTTTGATATACTTTATTTTTTAGTTTATTGAAAATACACAATCAAAAAAATGGATTTCTTTTGGATTCTGTGTTTAATGCGTTATTTGAGATTGCATGCAATCTACAGAGTCCTTTTTTATTTATATTAGAAGGATTTCTCTTGGATTGTGTGGCTAATGTGTTATTTAAGATTGCTTGCAATCTACGAAGTCAATTTTGATTTCTATCTTACCTTTGACTTCTTTGTCTTATAGTTTCCCTGTAATGTATTAAGTTATGGGATCGATATTGTCTAAAGCCGATGAAGCTTGTTTTTGCTCTTGCTATAATGAATTTGCAGCAGAAAGGAACGAATTTTTATTGGTGGAAATGAAATATGTGGTCATTTTGGACTACATGCATTTTATTTATTTTATCAGGATAAAATAAGCTTTTATACAAGGGTTACTTAAAAAAATGGCCCCTTTTTTTCTCTCAAAAAGACGATCCGTGAGATCTAAAGAATCTAAGAAGTGGATCAGTCTGGCTCTAGTGAATTGTTCTTGATGGGGTATTGAGAAACGATTGTGCTTTGTTACATTTTTGGCCAAGAATTTTTCAAAAGGGAACATCTATTATAGTCTAAAAGAGTCAAATTAGATGTTGCTTTAATTGCCCTTGAAATGCCTCATGCCTGTATACATTTTGGAACTGTAATTTGTGATTCTGATTAATTCTAGTGCAAATTAGGTTAGGAATACTTGTACACTTCTTTCCCCCTTCTGTTTAGTTCCTAACAAGGGGTTTTAGATGTTCTGTTTTCTGTTGACAGAAAGAACATTTGTTTTTAGGAGATGTGCAGTGAACAAGATTGGCATTATCCTTTATGTTTTCGGGGTTCACAATCAAAAAAGTTCTCATAGGCAAAAACGCTTGGATAATGATGTGGCGAGAAAATTCTCCATATAATGCCCCTGCAGATTATTTTGCTGAAGTAGGGCGATTGCTAAAGGGCCACCTAGAAGACGCCGGGAGCACAATGCGTATTAAAGAAGATGCAGCGACCACAATGCATATTCAGCTTTCCCCGGGGAAGGCATATGGAAATGCAGAGAGAGAAAAATGACCGACCATGGGGAAGACGCACTGTGGTTCATGCGTCTTCCTCTAAAAAGCAGAAGACACACTGTGTCCTACTAAAGCAAATAATTTGAGGGGTACTATGTGGGGATTTTTTATTTGGCACAACATTATCAGGGCAATTTTGCTAGTTCTCATATGATTATTTGACTTAATAATCTCTGTGTTGTCTCTACTTCGAGGTGTCTTTTCTGTTCCTTTAGTATATATATTGATTGTTTTATGTATGATATAACATGCAGAGATAACCTCGAAACCTACACAGCCGATTACACCTTACAAGTCTTGGTGTGGTACAGTGTAGTCTATATTTTCATGCAAACTTTCATGATTCTGGGAACTATTTTCATGTCGTTGTTTGCTGGAGCATTGTTTGGAGTTTTGAAAGGTATAGCTCTTGTTGTTGTCACTGCCACTTCCGGTGCTTCTTCTTGCTACTTCCTGTCAAAAATTGATTGGGCGATCTCTCGTCGTATCCCTTTGGCCTGACAAGCTGAGCTTCTTCCAAGGCCGGGTGATTTTTTGTTCCTTATTGAAGCTATCTTGTCTTATGTTGAGCTAAAATAAAAATGAAATAAGTTTAAACCTTTTGCATGCAAATATCTCAAAGGAGGGAGCGGCTATTGAACTACATGATTTTCCTAAGGCTTACTCCAATTTTACCAAATACATTCATTAATGTTGCTTCACCTATCGTCGATGTGCCCTATCGTATTTTCTTCCTGGCAACTTTTATTGGTTAATGTAATTCAGACAAAGTCTTAGTGATATTGAAGATGATGAAGTGGGAACCTGTTAAAATCATCTTCTCAGGTTGAGTCTGTATCAGTCGAGGAACCTGCGAAAATATGGGTGATGGGAGGGTTGTGGTATTTGTTTCAGTCTCGGATATAATTGCCAAATATAGCCTGTGCATCTTTGTTCTATATGGAAACAAAGGCACCTCCTACGTCTGCGTGTGCAGTGCTCTCATCTCATTATTAAGTTATAGAACACATTTATGGTAAAGAAAACTAAGAAAAATTTTCCATTGGATGAAGGTTAATTACTGTTATATTCATTACTTTTTTTTTAATTTTGATAGGCTAAAATAGTTTGCAATCGATAATATTACATAATTTTAAGTGGTTAAAGGAAATGTTGTTCTACATAATTATTTTTGCAGGGTATGCATGTGTTGTTAATTTGTTAAGAAAGTTATGAACAAATCTATTTTATGATCACCGTAAATTCAAGCTTTCATGAATTATTTAATCATTTGAATGATGTTTATATATGTTTAGGGTGAACTTTTGATTGTATCAAGTCAGAATATTTTTGAGTTATTCGAGTTGAGTCCTATTTTAATATTCGAAGTTGATTTGAATTTTTTTCAAATCAAGTTTATAAAATTTGAGTTGAGTTGACTTTTCTAGTTTATGTTTAAATTTAACTATATATTTATATGATATTATTTAATTATAATTTAAATGATTTTTCGAGTTGATTTGAGTTTTGGTTACCTTTATATATGTTACTAAATTATTTAAGGATTTATGCTTCCTTGAGTCTTCAAAGGTTGTAGTAATAAGCCCAATTGGATTGGGCAGATAATTCTTGTGCCATTTTCTTTGTTAGAATGTCCAACCCTGATGGATAAAGGTCAAACTAATAATCTGACATTAAATAACTATAATTTTGAACCTAGAGAGGCTGCAAATGTTTTTTTTGGCCCAATATGGCAGCCCACAAAAAATAATTGGGAAATAGGGTTGTCACCTCTAGTTGATGAGTTTCATAAGATAATATTATTATATTCCTTGTGTATTATTTAATTATTTAGGTTAATGTTCCATTAAAATAATACTATTTTTAATTTTTTAATTTTATTTGAAAATTGAAAAAAAAGTTGAAACTCGTCACATCGAGGTGACGAATTCCTTTGGTTTCAAATATATAGTCGTTGGAACTCGTTGTGTGGGCGTGATGAGTTCCAACGCTCATTTTGAGATTTTTTTTTTGAATTTACGAGAGGCAACTAAAACTAGCTAGTTGTACTACTCATGCAATCTCCATGTAGAAGGTTCCACGCCTCAGAAGGAGGATGGTGCAAGCAGTGAAGTCCAAAATCGAGGGAGCAAGATCGCTTCACCATGAAATCCGCAACTCGATTACTGTCCTGTAGAACATGAGAAAACTACAGAGACCATTTCCGAGCTAACATCACAACCAGATGAGGAACAATATGTGATATCCCTTCCATTTTCCGTCCTTGGCATATAAGGTTAAAAACCTCTCGATTATCTGTTTCAATCACAACGTGATCCAATCCCATATTCTAGACAATGCTTAACCCCTCATAAACACCGTGTAATTCCACATCCAAAATCGAGCAGCACCCTAAGGATCTGGGAAAACCTCGAAGCTAATTTATGTGAAAACCCCAAATAACCCCACCACAAGCTACCAAACCCGAAGAGGGGGTCCAAGAACCATCAATGTTTAACTTAATCCACCCAGTAGCCAGAGCAAGCCAACCAACGCTCACCTCCATTCTAGTTTGAGAAGCTAAATTACTGAGACTAGTAGTTTCATGTGCATGGGAGAGCTCCGTAAACATATGCTTGCTTTTTTGAGAGATACTCTTCGTGTCCACAAAGTCAGGATTAAAAATAAGTTTATTCCGTCTGATCGACAAGCACCAAAGTGTTAAACAGAAAACCATGTTTCAGGCAGTACTATTTATCAAAAAGTATTTCGGTCTTTGAAGATTTATACAAGTCCAATCCTTCACCCCCCATGTTTAAAAACTCACCAAGTTGGCTCGGTTTAATACAAGCAGCCCTAGTCGAGAGAGCCACATCACAACTCCGAAATATATGGGAAATGAAATCCACATCATCTCCACAATATGAACAACTTGAATCAACAACAATGGATATTCGGACCCTCTATTTATTTGTCATTAGATGACCATAACTGATGTAGGCTGAAATCTACACTCTTCAATGGAAATGAGTAGATAACCTTATTGTGTCCCGATCTAGTATTGATAAGTACTGATGTCCTTGAGTTATAAGTTTGACTGCAACAAAGATAAGAAATGAAATTGGATTAGTAAATGATAAGAAATGGATAAATAAGATAATTAATGAAATGAATAAAGTAGGTTGCGAAATTATGAAGATGATGATGGCCTTGATGGAATATGTTGATGGTGTTGATGATGAAATGGAGATGGTGGTGAAGTCGTATCACAAACACGCCAAAGAAGAAAATATGCTAGTAAGCACAATCTCGATTTTCACAAACTTGCTTGAGGGGGTGGTGAAAGTGTCTTCAACCCACTAGATAGAAATCTAGGAATTTAGGAATCAAGGTGGAATGATTGACTCCACAAGTATAAGAAATTATCCTTGCTTAATCAATAAAGTTCACAAAGAACTTTGAAGAGAGAATTAACTCACAAAGGTTTGTTTATAATATGAGATGAGTAAAAATGATGGCAAGCCTCTCAATTGATTGGAAATGAGAGGGCTTGGTTGAATGGTTACATAATGTTTTGGCTAGATACATGTCTCTAAGGAAGTACATAATGATTGGGATGAAACGATGAGTCCTTTCGCTTGATGTTGGTTTCGACTAACCCTTCACAAAGGGGCTTGATGTTTCGACAATGATGAGGGAACATCTCCCTTGGCCAAATGGTGTCATACTTGTTTATCTTGGCACCAAAGACATCTCCTTTGGCCGAATGGTGTTGTGTCTCCTCAAATTAGTGCCAAAGCTCTCATGTGCAAGGCATGTTGGTGTGGCCGAATAGTCATGAAGCTTTGTCTCATGTCCCTTGGTGATTTAGGCCTCCAATGGTTGTAATCAATTCACCAATGTGCTTCTTGATGAAAGGGCATCTTTATGGGCAACATCATTCATGAAAGGTCACAATGTTTGGAAAGGTAACCTTTCATGTTTGAGCTAGTTCTAGGGTGAATGAGCTGGAGGTGAGCTGGCCATATGTGAGTTGTAGTATGGTGAACGTTTTGGCAGCTCCTTGTGAAAACATACATCTTGAGGTGGCAACTATTTACGAAAAGGTACGATTTCACAAAATTTGACTTAGGACATATTTGAAGTGTCCTAAGTGGTGATGATGATGGTGCAGCTCCCCATCTGAATTGAAGTCATCTTGTAGCTCAAATCTTCAGCTCAATCCAGCTATGAGCTCACGTGTCTCTGGACAACTTTTCACCAACTGTTCCTTGTGCTCTCCTAGACGTTCCCATGTAAGTTTTCTTTCCTTTACTTTCTCCGTTTAGCTGCAAGATAGCTCCCAAGTTGTGGCCGAATGTACCTATATTCAAAACATAAAAACTAAGTTAAGTATATGAACTATATATATATGTATAATATAAAGATGTGTACTAAGTTAAGTAATGAATAAGTTATCATCATTATAACTATAGATGTAATATATGTATATGAATATAACTATATTATAGCATATGAAATTAACATAATTATGTATAAAGGTAGAAAGTTTCTTCCATTGAAAGGTTGGAATAGCCAAGTTAAACATGATGCTGAATTGGATCACATCATCCTCCCCTTCTTTTAATCATTTTGTCCTCAAATCGAAAGGCTTTCTTTTCCTAATGTCATTCCATTCATTAAGTACCTTTATGAAAAGGTTCATGCATTTGAAAGAATGCTTTGGAATTTCTTGATCTGAAAAGAATGAAAACTTTCATAAAAACTATTTGATTAAACATACTTAAAGTTAAGAAGTACTCCCTGTTAAATGCATATTCAAAGTTCATGTCTATTGAAGACGTTTTGCTTTGAACGTTTGTGTCCTTTAGCATTCCAACAATCATGCCCTTGGTCCACCAATATATGTATTCATGAAATCACGAAAGGATATGACTTTTGGAATGGAGATGTCCTTATAATCCTCATAAGTCACGCCATTTGGATGAAAAATCACATCCCTTTGCTTTTCATTAGACACACCTATTGGCTTTTGAAAGGTCACGTCCCTTAGTCTCCCAACTTGAAAAATTGTGTTGCTTGAAACATCTTGCAAATCAAAGAAAAATTCTTCATTTTCAAGGTTAAAAAAATCTTATTTGATCTTGCGTCTCGATAATAAGCATTTCTATAACAAGAACATAGATGTATAGGCACTTGTTTTCTGACTAGTTTCCTCCTTGTTTGATTTCAATTTTCCCTTCCTCATAGCCTCAACACTTTGTTTCATCTTGATTTGATAAATTTAGACTTGTTTAGGCGTTAAAGGCGTGAGAATAATCTTTTTCCCTCCATGTTTGAACGAGTATTGATTGGTAAAACAATCATGGAAAATCCTTTTATGATATTGCCACGACCTTCCAAGAAGTAAATGGCTAGCATGCATAGGAACGACATCACACATAACCTCGTCCTTGTACTTTCCAATTAAAAAAGAAACCATCACCTGTTTATTGACGTTAAGTTCTCCTCGTTCATTGATTATAGGGATTTGGATGCTTCAACGTTTTCAA